GTAATACTTAGGGGCCGGCGCTGCACCCCCCTGTTGACCAACAATAAAGGACAAAGACATAGTACTGTGCGTAGGGTTATATTGCCGCTGAACATTGGAAGGGGAGGAGGGTGGGAAATTTTTTTCTAAGACTTGTGAAGCGGAGCGAGGCTGGAACAAGAAAGAACGCATGACCGAGAGAGAGAGAGAGAAGATTAAGCCACCCAAAAGGTGGCACGGGCATGAATAGCCCGTAAGTGGTGGCCCTTTTGAGCCATCACCAGTATCAAGAGCTGATACTGGAGATCTGTGGAGGTGCAAGTGCACTCTGCGTGACGGGAGATGTCTCCCATGAATGTGTCCAAGATGACAATTAAGCCATCCAAAAGGTGGCACGGGCATGAATAGCCTGTAAGTGGTGGCCCTTTTGAGCCATCACCAGTATCAATAGATGATACTGGAGATCTGTGGAGGTGCGACTGCACCCTGCGTGACGGGAGATGTCTCCCGGACCAAATGGTGTGATGAGTAGAGAGAGAGAGAAGATTAAGCCACCCAAAAGGTGGCACGGGCATGAATAGCCCGTAAGTGGTGGCCCTTTTGAGCCATCACCAGTATCAAGAGCTGATACTGGAGATCTGTGGAGGTGCAAGTGCACTCTGCGTGACGGGAGATGTCTCCCATGAATGTGTCCAAGATGACGATTAAGCCATCCAAAAGGTGGCACGGGCATGAATAGCCCATAAGTGGTGGCCCTTTTGAGCCATTTCCAGTATCAATAGATGATACTGGAGATCTGTGGAGGTGCGACTGCACCCTGCGTGACGGGAAATGTCTCCCGTGGATGAGTAGATTGATGATTGATGAAGATTAAGCCACCCAAGAGGTGGCACGGGCATGAATAGCCCGTAAGTGGTGGCCCTTTCGAGCCATTACCAGTATCAAAAGATGATACTGGAGATCTGTGGAGGCGCAACTGCACTCTGCGTGACGGGAGATGTCTCCCGGACCAAGTGGTGACCAAATGGTCAACGCATGACCCCTCCTCTCTGCTATATATAGGCCCCCCGGGGCGCTCCGCGCGCTGCGCTGCGGATCGCGCTGTGCAACTGTCTTCTCCTCCATCAGAAATTCCTCCGCATTCCTACATAATGCAGCGGTTATTTATTCACTAATCCTTATTAGTCACTATAATTAATTCCACTTTAATTATCTATTTATTCGTTATAATGAGCTATTATGCTTCTTCATTTAAGGATTATCAATTATTTAATCATTAATTATGACTATTATTATTAATTAATTATTTGTATTTATTAAATAATTAATTATTATTACTATTATAAAATAAAATAAGTCCCCCACTCTGTGAGCGTTTTCTTCCAACCGCAGAATATTAATTTATATTTGAGAACGTTCAGGTTTTGAATGAACATCATGTTAAAATTTATGAATGCGTCTGTGGGGTCGACCGCTGGATGTAATGGACTTGAGTCGATTACGGGTTGGTTTTTGCAAAACACTTTAAAAAACCGATTATTTACAAATTGTACAGTCAATGGGCTCAGGACCTGAACTCAAAGGTTTGTAATGTATGATTATGTTACGTTGTTTGGTTGATTAGATACGCAGTGTTTAGTGGGAGTTCATATTTATTTAAAGTCGTGGTTACAGCAGTCGGTTGTTGGCAGTGTCGTAGACGTAAAGACGAACACACACACACACTTTTATTTTTTACACAGGTAAGTACAGGGGCAGCCATGAAATAATGAAACAAAAATAAACACCACTTTATTAAAGTCCAGTTAGGCATCTGGAGGTCATAATTTACATAAGATAGGCATTTATACATCATAATGTCACGATTTATGACTCATCAGCATAGCTGGGTCCTGTAAGTTTTATTCTTCACGTTAAAAAACAAATAGGATGAGGAGGCGTCGAGTACACACTTATACTTCACCAATAAATCCTTGCCTATGAAGAAGGGATGTGTGTCTTCCGGGTTTGGAAGGACACTTAACTCATCATCTACATACACGTCACCCCCCATGTGTATCCTAAGCTTTGTGGGAGGACATTTGTCGAGTCCTATTCTTTTCAAATATAACCTTGAGACCCTCGTCTCTACCGCCCCCGTATCAACAAGTATTTCTTCTGTGCATTGGTCGGGTTGTGATGAATCTGGCAACGGTATCCTAAGGTACGATCTGGAATTACACACCCCATTATCTTCACTACGTTGGTTCTTGAAATAGAGATAAGAATTATCCCGTTGAAACTGCTATATAACATGATACTCGACCATGAGAGGAAAACTAAAGAAAAGCTCTGGGACTCGGTGAAGGCCGAAATAATTATCCATGTGTGGCGGCATTATGTCGACTTTGGTAACCAAGTCTATGCAGTTTTCTAGGTATATTTCAACATTTTCCGCCCTCCTTGTAGTGAGGTTTTTGTATCCGCTATAAAAGCCGATTTTACGATTAACGCTGGCGGTTATCTTCTAATCTAAACCCAGTTTTCTTGCATCTCGGTCTTGGATCATATTGAGTGTAGAGCCGGTGTCCACTAACATGGTACAAAACTCATAGTTTACCAGAGCCTTGAGGTAATTGTGGCCCTTCAGGGCAATTTTCTTCAATCCCTTCAGGGATGGGGGCTCGGTGCATACGGGAGGGTGAAGTAGGAACAGTGTTAGGACCTGTCCATCTGGGCTGACTTCATATCCAATATTATCATTGGTGTATTTTGGTCTTTTTCCGGGACTATTGATGGTCTGGCAGTCGTCCGCCTTCCTCTTGCAGCCAGGCCCTTCCACTTTGTTCTGCGTGTCCATAACTAGACGGGTGAAGGGAGAGGAGGAGGAGGAGCAGGAGGACAGGAGCTAAAGCACTATTCTAGTCCTCGCTTATCTTACAGTGAGTCGCGCTTACAGAGCACCAAATTATATCCTACTTACATTATATTTAGTCAAGCTACATTAGCATCTTTAACTTTCAATTTATCTTTTATATTTGTAAACAAACATACAATTTTATGTATTACCAAATACTGACCAATGTATTACCAAAGACTGACTGCGTCCCACGCCAGGGGGAGGGGGGGACTGACTGCGTCCCACGCCAGGGGGAGGGGGGGACTGACTGCGTCCCACGCCAGGGGGTGGGGGGGACTGACTGCGTCCCACGCCAGGGGGAGGGGGGGACTGACAGCGTCCCACGCCAGGGGGAGGGGGGGACTGACTGCGTCCCACGCCAGGGGGAGGGGGGGACTGACTGCGTCCCACGCCAGGGGGAGGGGGGGACTGACTGCGTCCCACGCCAGGGGGAGGGGGGGGGACTGACTGCGTCCCACGCCAGGGGGAGGGGGGGACTGACTGCGTCCCACGCCAGGGGGAGGGGGGGACTGACTGCGTCCCACGCCAGGGGGAGGGGGGGGACTGACTGTGTCCCACGCCAGGGGGAGGGGGGGACTGACTGCGTCCCACGCCAGGGGGAGGGGGGGACTGACTGCGTCCCACGCCAGGGGGAGGGGGGGACTGACTGCGTCCCACGCCAGGGGGAGGGGGGGACTGACTGCGTCCCACGCCAGGGGGAGGGGGGGACTGACTGCGTCCCACACCAGGGGGGGGGACTGACTGCGTCCCACACCAAGGGGGGGGACTGACTGCGTCCCACACCAGGGGGGGGGACTGACTGCGTCCCACACCAGTGACGGGGGGACTGACTGCGTCCCACTCCAAGGGGGAGGGACTGCGTCCCACTCCAAGGGGGAGGGACTGCGTCCCACTCCAAGGGGGAGGGACTGCGTCCCACACCAAGGGGGAGGGACTGCGTCCCACACCAGGGGGGGGGACTGACTGCGTCCCACACCAAGGGGGGGGGGACTGACTGACATACAAGAGATTTTACAAAGTTTGTTGGATTAATAGATAGAGCTAGTACATACAATGCCTAAAGTCATTATTACGCAAAGCGATTCGGGCAGGAAAAACATTAATGACTATAAAGCTTAATACTAATGGGTATAAAGAATAAAATGTGTTGAGAACAAATAAAAATAGAGACAAAAGAGGGGGGAACATGGCTGAAAAAGCAGTACAAATACAATTACAAATTATTACAGACAATTACAGACAAACAGCGTTGTTTTAAAAAAAACATACATGGGTTGGCAACAGAGGGGTAAGGTAGGTTACAGGGAATTTATTAGGTAGTGCTTCGTTTTTATCTTGAACTGGTTGAGAGAGGTACAGTCTTTAACATGGTTGGGAAGGTCATTCCACATTCTGGGTCCCTTGATTTGTAGAGCATTTCTAGTTTGATTAAGTCGTACTCTTGGAATATCAAAACTATTTATTTCTGGTGTGGTGCTCATGGGTTCTGTTACAACCTTCAATGAAGCTTTTGAGGTCAGGATTGGCATTACAGTTTAGCGTTTTATATATGTTATATTTATATATTTATTTATTTTATTATGTATAATACACATGAGAGAATGTGCAGTGACTTAATGTCTAACATATTCAGAGATTTGAGTAGGGGTACCGAGTGATGTCTGGGGCTAGAGTTGGATATTGTCCTAATAGCAGCTTTGTGTTGAGTAATTAGAGGACGTAAATGATTTTGGGTAGTAGAGCCCCAAGCACAAATACCATAGTTGAGATATGGATAGATAAGGGAGTAATAGAGAGTCACCAGGGCAGGGCGGGGTACATAATATCTGATCTTAGAAAGAATGCCAACAGTTTTTGAAACTTTTTTTGATACAGTTGCATATTGTCCTGGGGACCATTCAGGCTTGTTCGTTTTTTTTATATATTTAGAATGTGTCCCTTTAGAATGTATTTATATTCACCCAACTCATTCATATACAGTATATGAATGAGTTTGCGTGGCTATAAATAGGAGCTGCCTCATATGGGCCAATAGGTCTTCTGCGGTCCCTGAGTTCATATAATCCACACATTGTACACACATTGTTGGGTCGGCCCCCAACCGGCCGGACGAGCGGACACCATGTACCAGCACATGTACGAACGAAAGGGTATGAATGTATAACGTTCTCAGTGAACGAAGTTGTTATCCGAAACTGCAGTCGACGACTTGGATACATCCAACAAACTTTGTAAAATCTCTTTATGTATGTACCTTACCTAAATAAACATTTATTTAATTATTTATTTATTTATATAGCTCGTGTTCTGCTTGGGCTCGTGTTCTGCTTGTTAAAACCGTATACAGTATATATATATGTCGTACCTAGTAGCCAGAACTCACTTCTCAGCCTACTATGCGAGGCCCGATTTGCCTAATAAGCCAAGTTTTCATGAATTAATTGTTTTTCGACTACCTAACCTACCTAACCTAACCTAACCTAACTTTTTCTGCTACCTAACCTAACCTAACATATAAAGATAGGTTAGGTTAGGTTAGGTAGGGTTGGTTAGGTTCTGTCATATATCTACGTAAATTTTAACTCCAATAAAAAAAATTGACCTCATACATAATGAAATGATTAGCTTTATCATTTCATAAGAAAAAAATTGGAGAATATATATTAATTCAGGAAAACTTGGCTTATTAGGCAAATCGGGCCTTGCTTAGTAGGCCGAGAAGTGCGTTCTGGCTATTAGGTACGACATATATATATATATATATATATATATATATATATATATATATATATATATATATATATATATATATATATATATATATATATATATTTTGTTATGCTAGGCTGAATTAGCTTAGGTGAGGATGTAATTTGGCTCAGTTGGGTTTGGTTAAGTTGGTGTGGGTCAGGCTGGGTTGAACTAGGTAAGGTTAAGTAGCCGCTGGGCGAATTGTGTTGTGTTTACTCCCGCTCCCTCAGTGTTGCTCCAGCCTCCCGCCCTCAGTGTTGCTCCAGCCTCCCGCCCTCAGTGTTGCTCCAGCCTCCCGCCCTCAGTGTTGCTCCAGCCTCCCGCCCTCAGTGTTGCTCCAGCCTCCCGCCCTCAGTGTTGCTCCAGCCTCCCGCCCTCAGTGTTGCTCCAGCCTCCCGCCCTCAGTGTTGCTCCAGCCTCCCGCCCTCAGTGTTGCTCCAGCCTCCCGCCCTCAGTGTTGCTCCAGCCTCCCGCCCTCAGTGTTGCTCCAGCCTCCCGCCCTCAGTGTTGCTCCAGCCTCCCGCCCTCAGTGTTGCTCCAGCCTCCCGCCCTCAGTGTTGCTCCAGCCTCCCGCCCTCAGTGTTGCTCCAGCCTCCCGCCCTCAGTGTTGCTCCAGCCTCCCGCCCTCAGTGTTGCTCCAGCCTCCCGCCCTCAGTGTTGCTCCAGCCTCCCGCCCTCAGTGTTGCTCCAGCCTCCCGCCCTCAGTGTTGCTCCAGCCTCCCGCCCTCAGTGTTGCTCCAGCCTCCCGCCCTCAGTGTTGCTCCAGCCTCCCGCCCTCAGTGTTGCTCCAGCCTCCCGCCCTCAGTGTTGCTCCAGCCTCCCGCCCTCAGTGTTGCTCCAGCCTCCCGCCCTCCAGCCTCCCGCCCTCAGTGTTGCTCCAGCCTCCCGCCCTCCCGCCCTCAGTGTTGCTCCAGCCTCCCGCCCTCAGTGTTGCTCCAGCCTCCCGCCCTCAGTGTTGCTCCAGCCTCCCGCCCTCAGTGTTGCTCCAGCCTCCCGCCCTCAGTGTTGCTCCAGCCTCCCGCCCTCAGTGTTGCTCCAGCCTCCCGCCCTCAGTGTTGCTCCAGCCTCCCGCCCTCAGTCCAGCCTCCCGCCCTCGGTGTTGCTCCAGCCTCCCGTCAGTGTTGCTCCAGCCTCCCGCCCTCAGTGTTGCCTCCCGCCTCCCGCCCTCAGTGTTGCTCCAGCCTCCCGCCCTCCTGTATCCAGCCTCCCGCCCTCGCTCCAGCCTCCCGCCCTCAGTGCCTCCCGCCCTCAGTGTTGCTCCAGCCTCCCGCCCTCAGTGTTGCTCCAGCCTCCCGCCCTCAGCTCCAGCCTCCCGCCCTCCTCCAGCCTCCCGCCCTCGGTGTTCTCCAGCCTCCCGCCGTCAGTGTTCTCCAGCCTCCCGCCCTCGGTGTTCTCCAGCCTCCCGCCCTCAGTGTTGCTCCAGCCTCCCGCCCTCGGTGTTCTCCAGCCTCCCGCCCTCAGTGTTCTCCAGCCTCCCGCCCTCGGTGTTCTCCAGCCTCCCGCCCTCTGTTGCTCCAGCCTCCCGTTCTCCAGCCTTGCTCCAGCCTCCCGCCCTCGGTGTTCTCCAGCCTCCCGCCCTCGGTGTTGCTCCAGCCTCCCGCCCTCGGTGTTCCAGCTCCAGCCTCCCGCCTCCCGCCCTCCTCCAGCCTCCCGCCCTCTCCAGCCTCCCGCCCTCGGTGTTCTCCAGCCTCCCGCCCTCCGTGTTCTCCAGCCTCCCGCCCTCTCCCGCCCTCAGTGTTCTCCAGCCTCCCGCCCTCCCGTATCTCCTCGGTGTTGCTCCAGCCTCCCGCCCTCTCCAGTGTTCTCCAGCCTCCCGCCCTCCCGTATCTCCTCGGTGTTCTCCAGCCTCCCAACCTCCTGTATCTCCCCTCCCGCCCTCGGTGTTCTCCAGCCTCCCGCCCTCCAGCCTCCTCCAGCCTCCCGCCCTCCTGTATCCTCCCGCCCTCGGTGTTCTCCAGCCTCCCGCCCTCCTGTATCTCCTCCCCCCTCGGTGTTCTCCAGCCTCCCGCCCTCCTGTATCTCCCACCTCGGTGTTCTCCAGCCTCCCGCCCTCCTGTATCTCCCGCCCTCGGTGTTCTCCAGCCTCCCGCCCTCCTGTATCTCCCGCCTCGGTGTTCTCCAGCCTCCCGCCCTCCTGTATCTCCCGCCCTCGGTGTTCTCCAGCCTCCCGCCCTCCGTGTTCTCCAGCCTCCCGCCCTCGGTGTTCTCCAGCCTCCCGCCCTCCTGTATCTCCCCCGCCCTCGGTGTTCTCCAGCCTCCCGCCCTCCTGTATCTCCCGCCCTCGGTGTTCTCCAGCCTCCCGCCCTCCTGTATCTCCCGCCTCGGTGTTCTCCAGTGTTCTCCATCTCCCGCCCTCGGTGTCCCGCCCTCCCGCCCTCCTCCAGCCTCCCGCCCTCCTGTATCTCCCGCCCTCGGTGTTCTCCAGCCTCCCGCCCTCGGTGTTCTCCAGCCTCCCGCCCTCGGTGTTCTCCAGCCTCCCGCCCTCCTGTATCTCCCGCCTCGGTGTTCTCCAGCCTCCCGCCCTCCTGTAGCCTCCCGCCCTCCTGTTCTCCAGTCCAGCCCAGCCTCCCGCCCTCGGTGTTCTCCAGCTCCAGCCTCCCGCCCTCCTGTATCTCCCGCCCTCGGTGTTCTCCAGCCTCCCGCCCTCAGTGTTCTCCAGCCTCCCGCCCTCAGTGTTCTCTCCCGCCCTCAGGTGCCTCCCGCCCTCGGTGTCTCTCCCCGCCCTCCTGTATCTCCCGTCGTGTTCTCCAGCCTCCCGCCCTCCTGTATCTCCCGCCCCCGGTGTTCTCCAGCCACCCGCCCTCCTGTAGCTCTCCCGCCCTCGGTGTTCTCCAGCTCCAGCCTCCCGCCCTCCTGTATCTCCCGCCCTCGGTGTTCTCCAGCCTCCCGCCCTCCTGTATCTCCCGCCCTCGGTGTTCTCCAGCCTCCCGCCCTCGGTGTTCTCCAGCCTCCCGCCCTCGGTGTTCTCCAGCCTCCCGCCCTCGGTGTTCTCCAGCCTCCCGCCCTCGGTGTTCTCCAGCCTCCCGCCCTCGGTGTTCTCCAGCCTCCCGCCCTCGTTCTCCAGCCTCCCGCCCTCGGTGTTCTCCAGCCTCCCGCCCTCGGCCCTCGGTGTTCTCCAGCCTCCCGCCCTCGTTCTCCAGCCTCCCGCCCTCGGTGTTCTCCAGCCTTCTCCCGCCCTCGGTGTTCTCCAGCTTCCCGCCCTCGGTGTTCTCCAGCCTCCCGCCCTCGGTGTTCTCCAGCTTCCCGCCCTCGGTGTTCTCCAGCCCTCGGTGTTCTCCAGCCTCCCGCCCTCGGTGTTCTCCAGCCTCCCGCCCTCGGTGTTCTCCAGCCTCCTCAGCGATGGCAACAGTTTCTGTGTCTAAGGTATAAACCAGCTTCGTATTTCTAATATACTTGTATAACAGAAATATTGAATTAGTTCGCTGACAAATGAAGTGTTGTTGTGGCCAGTACAGGTGAAGTATTATTATTAGTAGTAATGGTAATGTCTTCTCACAGATATAGTAACATAGGATACAAACCCACACTTGTTTATGTGTGAAATTTATGTAAGGAATTTACACCAAGTCTTTCGCAGTCTGAGTGTGTGGTTAGGTCTTGTCAAGGTCTGAGTGTGTGGTTAGGTCTTGTCAAGGTCTGAGTGTGTGGTTAGGTCTTGTCAAGGTCTGAGTGTGTGGTTAGGTCTTGTCAAGGTCTGAGTGTGTGGTTAGGTCTTGTCAAGGTCTGAGTGTAGTTAGGTCTTGTCAAGGTCTGAGTGTGTGGTTAGGTCTTGTCAAGGTCTGAGTGTGTGGTTAGGTCTTGTCAAGGTCTGAGTGTGTGGTTAGGTCTTGTCAAGGTCTGAGTGTGTGGTTAGGTCTTGTCAAGGTCTGAGTGTGTGGTTAGGTCTTGTCAAGGTCTGAGTGTGTGGTTAGGTCTTGTCAAGGTCTGAGTGTGTGGTTAGGTCTTGTCAAGGTCTGAGTGTGTGGTTAGGTCTTGTCAAGGTCTGAGTGTGTAGTTAGGTCTTGTCAAGGTCTGAGTGTGTGGTTAGGTCTTGTCAAGGTCTGAGTGTGTGGTTAGGTCTTGTCAAGGTCTGAGTGTGTGGTTAGGACAAGACTTGCTCCTCAACGTCTAATGTGGCTCCTATCCTGGGCCCAGTCCTCTTATCCTTCTTGATGTTCAAGAAGGTCCAGTCCTCTTATCCTTCTTGATGGTCAAGAAGGTCCAGTCCTCTTATCCTTCTTGATGGTCAAGAAGGTCCAGTCCTCTTATCCTTCTTGATGGTCAAGAAGGTCCAGTCCTCTTATCCTTCTTGATGGTCAAGAAGGTCCAGTCCTCTTATCCTTCTTGATGGTCAAGAAGGCCCAGTCCTCTTATCCTTCTTGACGGTCAAGAAGGTCCAGTCCTCTTATCCTTCTTGATGGTCAAGAAGGTCCAGTCCTCTTATCCTTCTTGATGGTCAAGAAGGTCCAGTCCTCTTATCCTTCTTGACGGTCAAGAAGGTCCAGTCCTCTTATCCTTCTTGATGGTCAAGAAGGTCCAGTCCTCTTATCCTTCTTGATGGTCAAGAAGGTCCAGCCCTCTTATCCTTCTTGACCATCAAGAAGGATAAGAGGACTGGGTCCAGGATAGGAGCCACATTAGACGTTTAGGAGCAAGTCTTGTCCTAACCACACACTCAGACCTTGACAAGACCTAACCACACACTCAGACCTTGACAAGACCTAACCACACACTCAGACCTTGACAAGACCTAACCACACACTCAGACCTTGACAAGACCTAACCACACACTCAGACCTTGACAAGACCTAACCACACACTCAGACCTTGACAAGACCTAACCACACACTCAGACCTTGACAAGACCTAACCACACACTCAGACCTTGACAAGACCTAACCACACACTCAGACCTTGACAAGACCTAACCACACACTCAGACCTTGACAAGACCTAACCACACACTCAGACCTTGACAAGACCTAACCACACACTCAGACCTTGACAAGACCTAACCACACACTCAGACTGCGAAAGACTTGGTGTAAATTCCTTACATAAATTTCACACATAAACAAGTGTGGGTTTGTATCCTATGTTACTATATCTGAGAAGACATTACCATTACTAATAATAATAATGTAATTTATGTTAACACTTGTCACTTGGACTGCAACAAATCAATTTATTAATTATGTTAATATTTGTCACCTGGACTGCAATAATAAATAATCACGTACAACACTTGACGGTAACACACAAGTACAGTACAACACTATAATGTACACACAACACAATAATCAATAACTGCAAAAATAATTCACAGGTGTCAACTACACACAACACCCAATGACTTATTCATCCACTGGTATCTGGAAAGAATATAAAATGCACTGTATCACACAGATACTGAAATGTATGCGAGTTTTGGAATACGAGCAGGATTTCCTCGAAAAATATAATGCGAGGGTTACCTCGGGACACGAGTTTGTTGATACGTGTACAGGCCGACCCAGCGCGTGGTGGTTCGGCGATCGTCGCCCCTCCACCCTTCCGCCCCTCAGTTTACCATTGTCTCGCACCCAGTGACTACCTCACATCAATTCTTCTCGCGGATTTTCAGTGTTTTGTTGGATTTGTGGTGATTTGACTATACAATTTGTTATTATATATCTCGCCATGGGTCCCAAGAAAGCCAGTGGTAAGATATATTAACTGTGTGGAGTGTGTATAACACTTACACCAATGACAGTGAACGGATACAGTATCACGCAGACTGCTGTACTGACATTTGTCCCGTTGCTTCTTCGACCAATCTACCTCTCACCTGTATCGGGTGATAACAATGCGGCTCGGATGGCTGATCCAAGACCAACACAAGAGAAAACACTTTAGGAACAAGAAAAGTTGTTATTGGTACACTTTAGGGCCAGTGTGTCACTCACACCTTGCATACACACAGATGTTGGACTGTAGATGCTCAGATATAAGATACTCCAGCAATTACTGCCTGATGTGATGACATGCGAGTAACAGCAAGGTAAGTAATAACTTGAACATAGTTTTGTAGGTTTATTTAGATGAATTAGGTATAAAAATTTAGTTTGATGTGGGGCTTTTGGGGTAGTCAGGAACGGATTAATTCATTTCCCTTTATTTCTTTTGGGGAAATTAGCTTCGGAATACGAGTTTTCGGAATACGAGGCGTCTCCAGGAACCAATTAAACTCTTACAGTCGACACAGGGTGGCAGGTACAACTGGATCAACAGGTGTTCCGTGGCCGAGCGTGGCGCGACGAGCAAGCTGGGGTAGCGGTGGCGGCAGCTACACACAGGGTGGTAGGGTTAGCTCACACACACAGGGTGGGCTCACGTGGTAGGGTGGCATGGCTTGGTGAGAAAAAGGCCACAAATCGCTCTGAAAATAAAGTTATCTTGAGGTTATCTTGAGATGATTTCGGGGCTTTTTAGTGTCCCCGCGGCCCGGTCCTCGACCAGGCCTCCACCCCCAGGAAGCAGCCCGTGACAGCTGACTAACACCCAGGTACCTATTTTACTGCTAGGTAACAGGGGCATAGGGTGAAAGAAACTCTGCCCATTGTTTCTCGCCGGCGCCCGGGATCGAACCCGGGACCACAGGATCACAGTCCAGCGTGCTGTCCGCTCGGCCGACCGGCTCCCTTATCTCTCTCCGAAAAATTAATGGTAGCAGTGGGGAATCAATGTACAGTACTTCACTGATAACCCGGTCTCATTAATTTTAATATGAAGATGTTCACGATGATCACTGATATAACACTGGCAAGTCTCGCTGCTTCTTGCTGTGATCACGTGGTGACACAATCTCTCTCTTTTCTCAAGTAACTTAACCGGATTCTGCAGCGAATTGCACTAAGTGAAATTAGGCAGGTGACGAGATAATGTAATAATGTCATAAGGTGGGAATCTAGGCTACTGGCCAGTAGCATAGATCCTCACATCTGTGTGTAACGAAAGATGTCGACAGAATGCCGAGGCCAGGGCCTGCTTGGCACTATAATGCTCTCCTTACCTTCTGTGCCATTATATGAAATTGACCAATGAGGCATTAGGCACTGAGGTCTAAACCAATCAGGACTGTTCCCTCCAAGTGGAGAGAGGCTGTAACGTCACAACTACATTATGGCCGAGGCCTAGTGTTTTTCTTGATGGTTGACTTCCCTCTACCTTTCTGACAGCAAGCTTGAGAATGTTCCTCCTCACTCCATTTCTTGACACTGGCTCCCTGGAGTCAACAAGTTGATATCACATAACAACCAGATAAAACTCCTTCCCTTCCCTGATATCCTTAAAAAAATACCTTCCTGATATCCCTAAAAAAAGCAAGAGTAATGCCAGTTCATAGAGGAGGCAGTCCGGCAGACATAAACAATTACAGACCATTATCAAATCTACCCATACAGTATTATCAAAAATATTTGAAAAAATTATTTACAAACAGCTCTAATCCTACCTCATAAAATTCAACATACTAAGCCCTCTGTTAGTTTGGCTTCTGCTCACAAAAAGAGTACCAACTATGCAATTATTAGTCTACTTGATATAATCTACACAGTCATTGACAAAAATGATTTCCCAATTGGACTCCTCATTGACCAGAGTCATGGCCTTTGATACTGTTAACTATAACTATCTCTTACTTGAACTTCACAATTATGGAATCCGAGGCCTTGCCCTGAACTATATTCGATCCTATCTTAGTGACAGACATCAATATGCAGCCATCAATGATATAACCTCCCCCACTCTACCATTAACTGTAGGGGTGCCACAGGGTAGCATCCTAGGACCTCTCCTATTTCTTATATACATCATTGATCTGCCTAATGTCTCTTAACATTCTTACACCTATATTATTTGCTGACGATACTACCTTCATCTACTTAGACCCCAACCCACACACACTAAATAATCTTGTAAATAACAAATTAAAAAAAGTCCACTCATGGATGTCAACCAACAATTGCACACTAAACATAGAAAAGACCTACTACATTTTATTTGGAAGTAAATCAACAAATGTAATTCAGCTTCGGATAGACAACGTTAACATCAGCAATACTAATGATGGAAAGTTCCTTGGCTTATACATACACAAGAGACAACTTCAGCACCCACATAAAACACATAACCAAGAAAGTCTAAAAAATGGTTGGTATACTATTTAAAATCAGATATTATGTTCCAAGCTCTCTTTTCATTATACTACACACTAATCTATCCCTATCTTACTTATGGTATCTGTGCGTGGAACTCAATCACTGCAAACCACCTCAAGCCCATCATCATCCAGCAAAAATCTGCTATCAGAACTATAACAAACTTTGCTTTCAGACAACACACAGCCCCTCTGTTTAAATCCCTAAACATGCTAAACATAAACTCACTCCATACATTCTCTTGTGCCATTTACATGTACAAAACCTTGTTCCTAAATGCTAATCTTGATCTGAAACTTTTCCTTGATAGGTGTAATAGAACCCATGATCACCACACCAGAAATAAATATATCTTTGATATTCCCAGAGTCAAACTAAATCTGTGTAAACACACTATGCAAATAAAGGTACCTAGTCTATGGAACTTACTCCTAATGAATTGAAAAGCTGTCCAACCTATGCTTTATTCAAAACTAAAACCAAAAAATACCTAATTTTATCCTTATAGTTTCCTCCCAAGTGCTTTAAACTCTTAAAATTCGCTAAACTCTTGTGCTACCCACTTCCCCACCATATGTGCCTAAGCCATACAACCTCACCATTGTAATCACTGCTCTCATCTTATATCATGGATGTTATATTGAATGCATATATTACTACTATATACAGTACCTATAAATAATCCTCATATTGTACCTGTTGATAATCCACAAATTTTACTATAATGTACCTACTAAACTTTTCAAATTTTCTTACAATGTGCCTGTTAACATTTTTCAATTTTGCTAGAAATTCTTGTGGTCGATCTCGAACCTATTGATGTGACAATGTGTATTGAATTTTGTAACTAGCTCATCAAGATTGTAACTTGCTTAGCTAAATGAATTATGGGGTTCAGTCGCTGAGCCCATTATGTGCCTCTGTAACCCTTTCCACTACCGCCCACAAGATGGATATGGGGGTTGCATAAGCAATGAACTAACTAAACTGCTAGAAATTACGCACTTAAATTTAACGGTTAGATGAAGGATCTGCCCGAAATGTTGTGTGTGTTAGTGGTTTTACAAGAATATAAAAAAATCAATGCTATGTACTCTCATAAACCCAATGTATCTTGTATATATATAAATAAATAAATAAATGTATACTTCTCGCTGTAAATAACAAACAATTAGACACACAATGGCCCCTTGCACTACCTTGGCCTCCTGATGAGCTGAGCTCTCCATAGATACCCAACAAAGTATACTTAAGTCTTGCATTAACAAAACTTGACCTTGTGCACACACACTGTGCACTTGAGAATTCAACTGTTACCGTGCACTCACTTTGCACATATTAAGACAGCTGGCAAAATCCATTCTCTCACAATGCATAAAGCCACTAATATGCACAGCGTTTCAGGCATGATGTGAAGAAAATCAACTTAAAAACTAAGACTTAAAACTAATTGAGATCAAAAGCAAATGTTAAACTGAAGCAGAGAAAATAAATAAAAAGAATTATAATACTGTAATTACATGATGAGTGAAACAGCAGAAATTGCAACAAAACAGCAGATAGTAATTTTAACTAAATATACAGAATGACTACAATTTTCTTAAGGTTTTACATAGCAGATATCAGCAGTTATACAAGCTAGTCATTAATCATTAATGTTTGATAATGACAAAACATAGATTGATGTTTAGGAGGTAAGGTTGGCTACATGGAGTTTATTAGGTAGTACTGGTACTTAGTTTCTCTCTTAAACTGGTTGAGAGAGGGACAGTCTTTGATGTGATTGGGAAGGTCATTCCACATTCTGGGACCCTTGATTTGCAAAGCATTTCTAGTTTGGTTAAGTCACACTCTTGGAATCTCAAATGGATATTTGTTTCTAGTGTGGTGCCCATGAGTTCTCTTACAACGCTCCAGGAAGCGTTTAAGGTCAGGATTAGCATTGCAGTTCAGTTTTATATATATATACATGTATGTAGAGAACACTTAAGAGGATGTGCAGTGACTTAAATCTTTGAATATGGTAGATATTAAGTAAGGGGGCTAAGTGCTGCTTGGGAACAGGGTTTGTTATTGTTCTAATAGTTGATTTGGGTTGAGTAATTAGAGGTGGTAGATGATTTTGGGTAGTAGAACCCCAGGCACAGATACTATGTGAGGTAAGGATAGATGAGAGTAATAAAAGATTTACAGAACAGGGTGAAGTATATAGTATCTTATTTTAGAAAGAATGCCAAATGTTTTATAATTTTTGTAGTTATATTTTGAATGTGTCCCTGGAAATTCAGCTTGTTATCAATGAGAACTCCAAGGAAGTTACCATTTACAGTACTTTGTTACTAATTTTGGTATTGTTAATTCTTATGTTAATTTGATCAGTGGCTTTATTACCAAACAAATATAGGTTTTATCAATGTTAAGGGTGAGTTTGTTAGTTAGCTAAAGATGGAATTAATTCAGTAAAGTATTCACTGGCCTCGTAGCCTGGTGGATAGCGCGCAGGACTCGTGATTCTGTGGCGCGGGTTCGATTCCCGCACGAGGCAGAAACAAATGGGCAAAGTTTCTTTCACCCTGAATGCCCCTGTTACCTAGCAGTAAATAGGTACCTGGGTGTTAGTCAGCTGTCACGGGCTGCTTTCTGGGGGTGGAGGCCTGGTCGAGGACCGGGCCGCGGGACACTAAAAAAAAAAACGAAATCATCTCAAGATAACCTCTCAAGAAGAACTATAATTATCTAAGTGTAGTTACAGGATGAGAGCTACGCTCGTGGTGTCAAACACCTAGGGAAGAGGTCCCTGAATGCTTGCAGCTTGAATTGAAGAGAAGCCAATCCAACACAGCAAAACTGGATACAAAACATGCACATAAATGAACAAATCCACAAGGGCCGTGACGAGGGTTTGAACCTACATCCGAGAGGACGTAGGTTCGAACGCCTCGTCACGGCCCTTGTGGATTTGTTCATTTGATGCATCAAGCTATTGTGATTTCTGTGTGTAATGCTCATAAAGCAAATACCAAAATAATAGAACTAAACACAAGCAAATAGTCCCACTGGATGAAGTCCAAGATGATGGCCGGCACTCGACTAAAAGCAGTAGGGCTCACTGCAACTGACAGACCCATAGTACTACAGGCAGTTGACACCTCCACATGAGCAACAGAACTGAGTCAGTAAGGCTGGCTATGGCTGCCTGGTCATGGCTATTAGTACAAACTGTATAGGGTTTCAGCCTGGTATGAGTGAGCCAATTGTTTCATTAGAATTGTTTGCAGAGTTGTCTGGCAGTTTCGATGTTTTGTTTGATACTTAATTGGTGGCAGATTGGCATTCACTCCCAGCACCTCTGTGAGGGTGCCAGGTTCTGACTCTGGTTCCTGGTAGAACAAACACAACTGTGACTGATGTGACCCATTGGAATGGAGCAATGTCAGTGAGATATAGCTTCAGGGAGCCACCAAGGGGCTCCCCTAGAAAATATAGTATGAGTATATTTTAATGATATTCATGTTTATACAATTTGACTCAGTGAAGATTATCATATGTGATTTCTAGGTTGAGTAAGTTTGGCTTGGCATTTGGTATAGTGTTAGATTTTTGTTCTTTGCAGGGTGTGTTTTCCTTTAAGAGAAGTAAAGGCAATAAGAGAAAAGTGTGCGGTATCTCATCACTGGACTACTGGAGTGAAGTGGAAGATGAGGACATTAAAGAAGTTAATTACAAGAATTATGTAAAGTGCTGGCAAATGGTCACCAATATTCTCAACGTAAGTATACAAAAAATATAAAAATTAAGGAAACTGCAGAAGGCCCATTAGCCCATGTGAGGACCAATGGGCCTCAATGACCCAGTGGGTCATTCTTTCCTATTTCATCTCCAACCAAACTCATATATACATGTCTCGCCTTCTTCTGAAGCAATCCAGCAATCCCACATCTATTATGCTACCCAATCATGTGCTACATAAGTCAACAACACTGTTCCCAAACCATTATTTTCACAGGTCTCTCTTGCATCTAAATGGATCCAACTTGTATCCATTGCTTATGGTGATATTATGGTTATTCTGTGGTGATATATTTAACACCTTATTATTACCTACTCTATTATACCTTTTTGTCCATCTGTATAGTACTTCAATCATGTCATCCATTCACCTTTTTTGAGAATGTAGATTAAACTTTTTAAATCCCTCTTCATATGGGAGGTTTATAATTCTTGGGATTAACTTTGTCATTTTTCTCTGTACCTGTTCAGATGAATTGTCCATTTTCTGGAGGGTCGAACAGAGGCTTCCTGTTGCTAGCTGCATGGAGATAACTCCTTACTATTAAATGACATCATCACATCAGCTCTTGCAAGTCATGAGGGAGCCTACCAGGGACTGAGGGGCCAAAACCTGACCCTTCCTTCCCCATTAGAGAGGCACAGAGCAAGGGATGCACGATCACTGTCACTAGGTTACTACTGCCCACCAGGAAGCAGGAGGGCTGCTGCTGCTTGTGGTTTGTGCCAGCCATTTTACCCCTTTGGTAGGGCAGTGGAGGGATGGCTTGCCCTATTTGTCAACTGGTCCCAGGGTTTGTGCGCTTTTTGGGTCATCTTGTGTGGCCTGCGGTGGAGTTAGTCGGTCCCTTCCATATTCTTGGAGCTAGGCAGGCAAAGGTCTCTTCCCTTTGCCTGTGTTGGGTCATTTCAGAGTGGGTTGCTTCCGTTGTGGTCGAAACGATCACATCTCGGCAGTGGGTGTCTTGTCTCTTCCTGGTTCTAAAATGGGTCTTGGCAGAGCTTTGGTTCATCCTTAATCTCTCAAGCTTGAACTTCTTCATCCCCCTCTCCTCGTTCCAGATGACCACTTTGGCCCAGGTTCGTCTTGCCTCGCCTTAGATGCAGGCTCCTGAATTATATTTCTAGACCCCCGGGATGTGTACTGGCATGTCCCTATTCACCCCAGGTTCGGGTATTGGTTAGGTTCAATAGTGGGACATCAGACTTACCGCTCTCGAGCTCTTCCTTTCAGCTTGAATTTGGCTCCTTAGGGTTTTATCAGGTTGGCTCTGGTTATGGTGACTTGTCTTTGTTGGACGTTCATGTTCTGGCTTACCTTGATGACTGGCTAGGGTGGGACCCCCCAGTCAGTCTGCATGTCTGCTAGCCAGGGATCTAGTTCTTTCCTGGTTTGCCAGATTTGAGTTCCTGGTGAACTTTTGGAAGTTCCAGTTGGTTCTGTCCCAGGTTTTGAGTTAGTTGGGCCTTGTGTTGGATTCTTGGTCCTCGTCACTTTCCCTTTCTCTGGCAGCTTTGCTTCGGCTCCTGACCACTGCCTGCTTGTGTTGGAGCAGCCCTGGGTGACTGTGCTTACCAGGCTGGTGAGCGTCAGGGTCATTGGTCACCACCTTTTCGTCGACCGCACAGAACATTGTGGGAGTTTGTGGACATGTGTTGTGTCCTGAGGAAGATTCATATTCCTCCAGGTTCCGTGTTCTGGCTCAGTTCAGACTGTTTCCCAGTGGTTCATTGTCTGAATCTGGAGAGGAGTTCTCTTTAGTCCATTATTCTTTGGAGTTGGATGCTGCAAGTACTGTATGAGCTCGATTATCCGGACTATATGGGAAGGACCCCCATCCGGGTTAAGCCTGACACCTGGATTAGCTGACTTTTTACCGGAGAAGTTCAAAAGTGAACATATTAAAAAAAATTGTTCCACAAAAACATAATTTGAATTGCCACACACAGACTATAATTATGAAATACTCAAGTGCAGTACTGCAATTAATTTCAAACAGAAACTTCAGCTTACCTTGTTGTAGTTCTTCTTGATTGATGCTACACATCTTGAAGATAAGAATTCTTGGGCTTACTTGTGAGGCCTCACTGGTTGAAGGTCCTTGGCTTGCTTGTGAGGCCTCACTGGTTGAAGGTCCTTGGCTTGCTTGTGAGGCCTCACTGGTTGAAGGTCCTTGGCTTGCTTGTGAGGCCTCACTGGTTGAAGGTCCATGGCTTGCTTGTGAGGCCTCACTGGTTGAAGGTCCATGGCTTGCTTGTGAGGCCTCACTGGTTGAAGGTCCATGGCTTGCTTGTGAGGCCTCACTGGTTGAAGGTCCATGGCTTGCTTGTGAGGCCTCACTGGTTGAAGGTCCATGGCTTGCTTGTGAGGCCTCACTGGTTGAAGGTCCATGGCTTGCTTGTGAGGCCTCACTGGTTGAAGGTCCATGGCTTGCTTGTGAGGCCTCACTGGTTGAAGGTCCATGGCTTGCTTGTGAGGCCTCACTGGTTGAAGGTCCATGGCTTGCTTGTGAGGCCTCACTGGTTGAAGGTCCATGGCTTGCTTGTGAGGCCTCACTGGTTGAAGGTCCATGGCTTGCTTGTGAGGCCTCACTGGTTGAAGGTCCAGGCCTGGTTGAAGGTCCTTGGCTTGCTTGTGAGGCCTCACTGGTTGAAGGTCCATGGCTTGCTTGTGAGGCCTCACTGGTTGAAGGTCCTTGGCTTGCTTGTGAGGCCTCACTGGTTGAAGGTCCTGGTTGAAGGTCCATGGCTTGCTTGTGAGGCCTGGTTGAAGGTCTTGCTTGTGAGGCTTGTGAGGCCTCACTGGTTGAAGGTCCATGGCTTGCTTGTGAGGCCTCACTGGTTGAAGGTCCATGGCTTGCTTGTGAGGCCTCACTGGTTGAATGGTTGTTGTATACAATACAGATTATAGGCCCCTCCACATGCCCCTCCACATGCCCCATATTTCCCAGGCAGTCCCTGCCAACTCTCCCCTCTCTCTCTCTCTCTTGATACCCCTTACCCTGAAACCACCCACCCCAACACTACCAATATCACGTGCCTCGAGCCACAGCCATACGGGATTCATACGGTACGGCCCGATGCCCAGCTTCGTATCCGGAAAAATCTCCGGTTGTCTGGATTTCAGTTCGGATATAAACAAGTAGTAGGTAGAAAGTTATCCGGATTTGATTTAAACTCTCTGCCTGTATACTTGTATCTGGAGAAACCTCTGGTCATCTGGATTCGATGTATAAGAAATGCTATACATTTAAAAAGTTAAACATTTTGTAATAGTATTTACAGTACTGTACAGTACTGTACTACTAAATGCAGAAGAATAGTAATACCTTACCTACCTATCCCTGTGGTTACCTTGTGGTGATTCCAAGGAGCAATGTCCCTACAGCCTGGTCTCTTACCAGGCCTCTTGGTTGGTAGTAGTATAAACCGGGCCAGAAGCCGGCAATTTTCATTTTTTCCCATGCCGGCTTCTGGCCTGTGTATTTTTCGTTACCCCAGTGACCCATGCACAGGCACGTTCAAGGGGATTAAAATGCCGGCTTCTGGCCCCTGGGTTTTACGAACTTTTTTTCCCTATGCCGGCTTCTGGCCCCTGGGTTTTACAAACTTTTTTTCCCATGCCGGCTTCTGGCCCCTGTGTTTTACGAACTTTTTTTCCCATGCCGGCTTCTGGCCCGTGTATTTTTCGTTACCTCAGTGACCCATGCACAGGCACGTTCAAGGGGATTAAAATGCCAACCTGTTCAAGGGGATTAAAATCCAGGCTGTTGGGCACAGTGTGCACCAAGATGTATGAATAATCACAGCCTGGGTGATCAGGTATCTTTTGGAGGTGTTTATCGAGTTCTCTCTCTCTCTCTCTCTCGAACACTGTGAGATGCCAGCCAGTTATGCCCTTTATATGTAGCGGGGGAGTGTCGGGAAGTCTTGGGCCTTTTATATTGGAATGGCCAGGTCCCAAATTTGCACAGTAGAATAACAACATACTGGAGCAAAAGATACAGAAGGGAATGCAGAATAATAGAACCAGTGAAGAGTAGAGGTGCCATAGGCACAATCAGAAAGCACTGTCTGAACATCAGAGGTCCACAGCTGTTCAATACCCTGCCAGCAAGCATTAGAAATATTGCCAGAACAAAGGTGGATGTCTTCAAGAAGCATTTAGATAAGTTCCTGCAAGAAGTGCCGAACCAACTGGGTTGTAGTGGCTGTGGGCCTGCAGGCCACTCCAAGCAACAGCCTGTGTGACCAAGTTATCTCAATCTGAGCCTGGCCCTGGGCATATTTGGGAAGTAGAAGAACTCTTGCAACTCTTTCCAGGTATGATGTTGATACAGTTCTCTCTCAGCATACCTATTGCACCTCTGCTTTTCAATAGGGCTATTTTGCACATCCTGCCATTTCTACTGCTGGAAATAACGTTGTGATATTACAGTGGTACCTCGCATAACGATTGCCCCAAAAGGCGAACATTTTGGGTAACGAACGGCCCGAACGGCGTCAAATCGTTCTGCATGGGGAACGCTCGTTTGAGTAACGTCAACACCACATGGTGGGGTCGCGCTGCTTCTTGCACATTCTTAGACGCCTCCGACGATGCACATAAATTATGTTGTTCTTGTTTAAATTCCGTTTCTTGTCTCTACGTGTCGTTGTTTTACACACCAAGCAATCACGTTGGGCTATTGCACGCTTCACACCAGGTGGCAAATACTTAAGTTTGTGTGCTAGGAAGCCTTCAGTGTGAGCGAGGCGTGGAGTACCAGCATGCTGCAACAGTGGGTTTATGATGGGCCGCTGAATACCTGGGACATCTTTTGCAAACTTTCCTAATAACTGTATTGCAGCATCAAATACAAAGTCACGGAAAGTGGGCTTACGTCCAGTTCTCACAAGGTACATGTTGAAACAGTTCAGCATGCTCATGTCCACAAGATGGAAGAACACTTTTTTCGTCCACCTACATGTCTTCCGCACACACTCTGCAGTGCCAATCATCATGTCTGATTTATCAATCAACCGCATGTTGATATTATAGTCTAAAACACAGTCTGGCTTATATAGTGGTGCGTTTGTTTTATGGCTCACTTTCCCACTGTTCACCATTGTTCCATCATGAATTGTTGTCAACAAGTTCACCTCTCTTTTGTCTTTCCACCGAACTGACAGAATGTTATCACTTTTCCTTCTCTGACACTCA